TGGGGTGTTAAATCAACTAAGTAATCAAAACTATGTCAGGGGTCTATAGAATTCGATATATTGCAGATTTTTCATGTTACACAATGATCGGTTTTCGATTATTTATTTAATATACAGAAAAATTATATTATAACATATTTGATATACAGTAAAGTTATATTATATAACGTATTTGATATACAGGATAGTTATTAAAGAACTATTGTCCAAATAAATTTTTGAACAACTCATTTGCTCTTTTTTCGCACTCATCATCATTGTTGTTGAGGAATTCCTGACTTGCATTTGACTTAGATTCCAATTGCTGATGCCTTTTTGCTCTAAATTCTGCCAATTCTAAATAATTACACCCGATTTCACTAAGCGGCATACTTGATAATCGTAACTTTGATTGCTGAAGGCTGCTACTCATATTCGGATGAGTTTTGAGATCCCATTTATTGAAAAGACCCTCAACCTGTTGCTGGTGAATTACAATATACCAGATTCGATGTTTGACAAATTCAAATACTTTAGGAAATTGGTTTAAAGGTTTCTGCTTTTCCTGGATAAATTGGTGAAATTCATAGTTAAATATAGGATCACGCAATGCAGCTGATAGACCGAAGTCATTAAATTCATCACATTTAACATCAATCTCAATAAATTTCGTGTAGCATAATTCTCGCAAAGAAGGTACTGATGACCAAGGTGTTCCTAAAACTATATGAGAAAAGCTTCGTGCAAATTCTCGCCCATATTTTCCGCCTAAACTACAAACACTTAATGGTAAGTGCAACCAACAATCTAACCATTTTTGGTGGAGTTCTAACGCTTTTTGTGAACCACGTTCAAGATCTGAAACAAGTTTATTTAGTTGATCATTTCCTAATAAATCAATGCTTTCTAACAATTCTTCTTCAAAAAATAAGTATGGATTTTCGACAATATTCTTGAGTTTCATTGTTGTACGAACTATAAAATCTGGCATTTGGTGGGCGCGTCGCCCGGGAGGTAGATTGGTCGGCACAGAATTTTGATTGAAAAATTTTAATTCCGGATCATATCCTGTAATAAATTTGACCATTGGTTGATAAAATTCTTTTCCAAAGCGGACTAATAACTTAATTTGAATGTTTAAAAGTGGGTTATGAAGCCAATGATTAAATAATTCCCATTTCTTAATATATGATTTTGGCGTATTGCTTCGAGCTTTAAGACAGGATAAAAACCACTTTGTAAATCGGATATGAATATG